ACAGTCATACAGTCAGAAGGATAAGGCTAATCCAGTGCACTTTCAAAAACAACTCCAAAACATTGGCCTGCTGCTCCCGGGACAACGATTCAGTGTTACACAGGAAGTGATTTGGCATCTTTTCAAAATAAAATCACTGAATACGGTAGCGATGGACCGCAGAGTCTGCACTTTTTTTTTTTACCTCGCGCAACAACAAGAGAGCAAAAGATGTTAGAACTGAACCTTTACGAAGGAAACGACAGAAGAGAGCTGAAGAGGAGGTAGATGATGTGACCCTCAGAAATGAGTATTGCTGGCATCTAGTGGTGAAACAGTTAAAATGTTTCTGTGGAGAGCGGAGGACTGCACGCGAATGGTCTAGAACAGAGTTCTCTGACCTGGATTAGGCTTGAGTTTGACCTCGATGACCTTAGCGTTTTTTTTCCCACGGCACCAGAACCGTTGCGAGACCTCTGCTCTAGACCAGACCCAGAATGGTGTCAGCGGACTTTGGCTTCAGTCTGAGCCGCAGCCGTCCGACAGTTTTGGCAACGATCTGGTTCGGGCTCCTCGCGTGTTGACGTGAGACAGACAGTAGGGCGGGACTACAAACGATATTATTGCACAGCTAGGTGTCCACGTGTCGTAAATGTCTTCAGCTGGATTGTCTTTTTGGTCTGCCTGTGTCCAGTGTGCCCTACCGTCAGTTAAAGCAGACTTCAGTAGTCCGGACCGTCAACGTGGACTAACACGACTGAGGTCCAGTCCCTCTCCTGAGAGCTGAGGTATCGATTTAAAAAAAAAAAAAAAAAAATCTTCATTTTGTAGTGAATCGGATAATGTTAGCTAAAATCGCGACAATATAAAACAGTTCCATCACTATCAGAGTCGGGTTGATGGTACCATGTAGATGGAACCATAGACTTCATTGTGTACCAGGTACCAGAGTGAACCAGTGGACTGAAGTACTTGTCAGAATTTACCATGTGGTTACCCTCCCTGACCTGTAGGTGGCGCTTAATTAACATTTTGATAGCTGTATGTGTTGGACACGTATACTTGTGTACAAATATAACCCAGGTAAACACACACGGCAGCGGCTATGGCTCTAGCGACGTGTTTTAGCTCGAGTTCCTCCGAAAAACCAGAGAAGCTCTTCAGTCAACTTCATCTTGTCCTTGTGCATTTATCAGTCTATGGTTGGCGCAAAAAATTGGCAACAAAAAAGAAGTTTGTTAGCGTTAGCATCAGTGAACGGCGACACTACGTTCGCGTAATAGAAACGTAAGGATTTCACAGGATCCGTCTGGATGAACGACGAGTATGTGTGTGTGCGTGATCATCAATGGCAGAAAGGTCAAAAGGTCATAATTAAACATGACTCAGGCAGCAGGTTCAAGTCGTGGTCATGGGCCCCAAACACACACACACCAATAATAATAATATCGAGGCTCAGACTGCGACACTTCAACGTGAATTCCACTAAAATACATCGTCAACATCGGCATTTCGTCATCGCTGCAACTAAAATAAAAAAAAGGCCAGAAGAGGAGTGTGTTTGGAGAAGGAGAAGAAGTCCAGGGGCAAAAACTATTTCAGTTACATCTCCTTCATCAAAACAGTGACACCTGGTGTTCACCCGGGAGAAGCGCAGAGCGACGACAGCACCACCAGACCAACCGTCACCAGTGAAGAGGAAAAACAACGGGCAGTGACTTTTATAACAAACGGGTCAACGATCGGACACTTACTGTCCCCTCCTCTGTCCACTCCACTTCCCAGCATGCACCTCCGCACAGATGCTCATCTCTGGCAGAGCTACAACATGGCTATGATCTCCGGTGTACAGTTAAGGTGGGTGGACGTGCTGCTCCCCCCGGGGGACTTAAGGCCCTTGGTGGCCCCGCTCAGAGTGGAGCCTCGGGCCCCGGGGCCCATGATGCCCCCGGTGGTGTGGTGACTCCGCTGCAGGCCTACCATCAGGGTCTCGCTGGTGACGGTTCCAAACTCGTAGGTGAAGGTGCCGTAAAAGACCAGAATATCCACGGTGAAGACCCACTCACAGATGGCCGCGGTGTGCTGCAGGACGAAGCTCTCGTGGATGAAAAAGATGCCACCTGGTGGGCGGGGTAGGGTCAAGGACAAACATGGCATGACACTGCACCCTCCAGTACAGTAGGTGGCAGTATGCGCCTAAAAACGTGGGTTGTGACTCGCTATTAAAAGTCACTGGTCATCCCATGACACTACACACTCCTGTACAGCAGGGGGCAGTATGCGCCTAAAAACGTGGGTTGTGACTCGCTATTAAAAGTCACTGGTCGTACCATGACACTACACCCTCCAGTACAGTAGCTGGCAGTATGTGCCTGAAAACATTGGTCGTGACCCACTATTAAACCCAGACGTCAGGTCCCTACGTAGGCTAGGAGACGTTCAGGTGTTGAAACTGAACGTTGGAAGAACTTGTTCCACAGACACCAACAGTGTTCTCCAGTGGAACTCTTTCCACTTCTTGTTTTCTTTATCTTCTTCTGTCGTATCGAGAATCATATCATAACGTGAGTCGAGTGTATCTTTAGTATTAGCTAATATTCAGTGCAGTTTTCCGACAGACATTATCAGTAACAAAAGAACAAATGATAAGGAGTTCACGCTAACTCAGACACGTGGTACTGTTGGATGGAACCAATCGCAGACGGACGTGAACTCCTGCATAAAGGATACTGAGCACCAGAGAGACCATGGCCCCCAGGGAGAGGGCCACTCTGAAATGTGCCATCCAGTGGTCGAGGGCGGTAACAGCCACGCGGTACGTGAGCACACACTGCAGACACACGAACAGCAGCCCGGCTGGAAACGCCACACCGGCGCCGACGTAGTGCAGAGATTTGGCGTGATCCACCTGCGGGGGGCGGAACCGTTAGTTCTCAGTCTGGACCGTTCTCGTCTGAGACCTAAAACATCTGGTCTGTGTTTACCTGGAAGTTTCCCACCATGACGAGACCCAGGGCGTTGGTGCAGCCTGACACCAGAGCGCTGGTGTTGACCCAACATCTGTGGCTGTGCTCGATCACCTGAGCGTAGCGGAGGAGACACACCATCACCACTAGGGGGCAGCGGAGAAGAAAAAAGAAAATTAATCCGAATAAAATAAAAATTAAATTATTTTTTTCACTTCGCTGTTTCACAAGTTTGTCACAACCAATTAATTTAGTAGCATAGCGCCACCTGGTATGTACAAGAGTGTGTAGTGTCATGGTAAGACCAGTGATTTTTTTAGATAATTTAAGCCTACTCTTACCAAATTAGCCAATTTACGCTTTGATGTAAATTGTCACGCATTTGTATCGATTTTTAACCGATTCACGCGATGCATCGTTACATCACTAGTCAAACACCTAGCGCCACCTAGCAACTCGTCTTAGTTCTTGGCGACTACGGTATTTTAAACATTACGCTAGATACGCTAGGTTCTTGTCATGTGACAAAAGACAACAACGTTTTTCCGACTGAACTTCAGAACTCGTCTCACCCATGAAGGCTCCAACGTTGCCGATCAGACTGAACAGGCAACTCTCAGGAGGGAAGGAGCCACATTTACTACCAGAGGAGGGGAAATAAAATCGTCGTTATTCACACAGACATACGTGTGTGCGTAGAGAGAGGGACAAAACACTTCTATACAACAAGACGAACCACACTGCCACCATGTGGCTGTACTGTAGTGACACACAGAGAGACACAGACGTGAGAGAGCGGGGGGGGGCAGGGCCGGACCTGATGAGGGGGATGTCCTGGATGGTGCAGCAGGTCTTAGGGAACCCTGGTCGCGGCAGCTCCTCGGTGCACGTCACATTATAGGACCTGCAGCAGAGACACGTCAGATTGATCAACGATCGTCTATAGACCGTGTCCACGATGAACACCGACGGTCAGTGACACCCACCAGTTCTCCACCGGACAGACGTGGTGATTCATCACAGCCATGTAATACCTACAGAGGAGGAACAATAACATGAACCATTAAGAACATCGCTGTGCCTATAGTATCGCTACACAGTGGTCCCTCGTTTATCGTGGTAGATCGGTTCCAAGGCCCTGCCGCGAGAACTGAATTTCCGCGAAGTAGTGACACGATATCTATGCGCAGTAAAATGATGACGAGGAAGGTGATGATGACTTTTACCGCGCAGCCGACGATTGTTTTGACGTCTCTCCAGAGGGTGGTGCCATTTCTTGGGGCACCTCTTCCACAGTTTCCGAAGGTGTATCCGTAGTAGTAGCGGGAACCGACTCTTTTTCTTTGCGAGGCTGCAAAAACATTGCGATCGGCAGTTGCTTCCGCTGCTTCTTTTTCCAGTGGAAGACTAGCTCGTAGGCAGTCACAACGTCGTCGATTTTGTTGCTAAAATTGGACCGATCGAACCATATCGTCGCCCCATTCCTGTGACATCTCTCGCAGATCCAAATCCGGGATACAGTATATTATATATATACAGTTTTCAAAAAAACGCGAAGTCGTGAATTCGCGAAAGATGAACCGCGAAATAGCGAGGGACCACTGTGTATCACAACATATTATATCGTAACCCCTGTATCCTGATATCTCTGTATAACCCCCACCTCCCCTACCCCGTCGCCCAGGTGGGATGGGTGTTCCTGTAACTCACACGATCCATATCCCTGTGATGGAGAAGGCAGACAGGCTGACAGGCAGGACGATCCAGGCAGTCATTGGGCTGGCAGAGAGACCACTGTGTTCCAAGCATGGGGTGAGAGGTGGAGAGACTCAGGACTGCGGGGGCAACACAACACGACAGGGCGGGGCGGGGCGGGGTTGGGGGGCGGG